AGAGGTCGCGAATTTGCTTAGTCACAAGTTTGTGAGCTGCTCGCGCATGTCCTCATTTCCTCAGACAAATGAAAACGCTGGAGTACTCATTTGATTTGCTGATTACTACGCGGATTCGATGATGCAATACGCGATCCAATTTCATCGATTTTGTTGGGACGCTAGTGTTCTTATTGTGCGAGACGAGCTTGTCACACAATCACAACAAATTGACATTTGCTTTCTCTAGATAAAGCATTCATGAAAGTTGGGTAGGATGTACTGCGTTTACAACGCCCACATAAATCTTCAATTCCAGTGATTTCTGTGTGTACGCGAAGTGGTGAAAACGAAGACAGTTGTCGCAAGGCGGACGCCATGATTTTCGCGGGTGACGGACATCAGAACATGATTGTGATTGTCGTTTTCACGCGGATGTGAAAACCAGCCACGTACCCCGTCGGACACTTGTTTACCGAAAGCTGTGATTGAAAAGAAAAGATATTAACGGTCGATTCCTTATTGACCACAACTTTTTATTGACAGCACTGACATCTCAATGTTGGACAATCGAAGGCAACGACATGAATTACAGCATTACTGTGTAAATATACAGTTGGTGTGACGTGGCATTAACTTCGATACGCAAAACGCTCGTTGTTAATGATTCCGTGACATGCGGGGTGACATTCGAATCACCAAAAATAATACAGAATTGAGTCAGCACACAGGTTTCTGGAGATAACAAAGCGGAAGAAAACGATCTATGAGTTGGGAAATCAGCGGATGGTATCCATCTCATTTAGCAGATGCTCAAACTCCGTAACCTGACATTGATCTCTGTCACATATTTGCAGCATGATGTGAATGAAGTGATACGTGGCATTTGTTGTCGAAAACTCCATCTCGGGCGGGAAAATACCATACGATCGATATGCAACGTGAGAGAGGTGGAACTGGTCGAAGACATCACCTTCAATCGTTCTGACGGTGTCTATAAGGAAGAATGATGGCATTTGCGGGTGAAACATGAGGTTAATCCATGACCGCGTTTGTCGACGATGACCGTTAGTCTTCAACACGTCAGGTATCTGCAGGCGCTATTGTGCACGAACAGTAAGTCCTAACGTTGGAAGACGTCACCTTATTGAGTCGGTGCACTAGCTGAAGGATGGTAAGCTTCTCCTCTGACGTCTGACGGAGGCTCTTAGCAGTTCACCGTCGCTATCCTGACTGAGGATTTGGGTCCCACTTTAAGCACCAAATATGGCGCCGCCACATTTGAATAATTGCGCCAACTAAAGTCGAGATGATTTACGTGCTGGTCGTAAAGAGGTTGCCGCTTGTTGCGGTGCGCTCTGACATGAACCGTCGGTCCGGTGCTTAACAGTATAAGTGCTGTTGAGGTTTGATTGATGCTCACTGGGGCTGATGTTATCACAAACCATTTCATAAGGGGGGAAGTTAAGGCTATGTTTAACTTAACAGCTGTCAAATAAGACAGCTGGACT